CACACACACACACACACACACACACACACACACACACACACCACGCACACACACGTCCACACATACATGCGCGGGCGCACGTACCGGTACAGACTTTTAAACTCTTTCCATATAAATCTATACACATACACACATATGGGCATGTAGAGTTATTGGAATCATCTGAAAGTTTATTCATTTCCTCTGATTTCGATGAAAATTTTCGATTAAATAGCCATCTACCTTGAATAGAAGTCGAGACATTTACGATTTTCAAAGACAATTAGCGAGAAAATGGCCACCAAAGTTTGGCTTGAAATTCCTTGAAAACTAAAAGAAATATTATTTTGTGCCTTTAATTAAAGTGTTTCAGTAAAATTCACATGGAGATGTGTTTTAATATAGACTTAAAAGGTGTTGAGCCCCCCCTCCCCCCCCTCCAAAAAAAAAGTAAAAATCGGTTGAAGGATATAATAATAAAATGTCTGTTATGATTTATTAACTTTCAAACACATCAGCTTTCTCTGGCTTAAGTCTTTTGTTCACTTCTGTCTATGCAGGAGTGAAGTGTGGACATGCCAGTCGAGTTTGTTGTCTATGGAAACACTCAGATGCCATGTACCTGAACTTGTAATCTAACACTCGCTCGGCATTCTCAATTTTTCATTTGGAATAATGGCTGCAGAACAGTTTTTTTTCGAAAGTCGACATGTACTTAGACCCCCTCAACCCCCACCCCCCCCAAAAAAAAACACAACAACAACAACAACAACACCCAACAAACCCAACACACATTGAATAGCAACGTACGAGTTTCACACTAATAATAAGTAAGTTTGAGCGATCCATCAGCTAAGTTGGTATCATGTTGGACTACAAAGTGGATGGCCCAGTTTCAAATCTCATTCTAGGCGCCCTTGAACTCGTTTTCAGAAGTTTTTGAGGCTTTCGACCCATTTGGTTCCGTCTTGTCGGAGACACACATTGAATGGCCACCAATGTTATATGATAGACTTAATATGAAATAACCTTATAGTGTCGATGAAAGCGTTAAACCCCACACATTTACTCAATAGACACGTTTGAAATGGTAAACCTGAATGAGCCCAAAAGTGGACCAATCATCTGCAAATTTTTTCATTCTGATATTATTGTTGGTCATTTGGCGATCGTTTGTATACGGTGTTAACAAACCTGACGACAAACGACATCCTTGAGGGTGCCCTGTCTTCGCTATGATGTATATGGACGAAGAATGTTTCAATGTTATGAACTGAGTAAGCCTCAGTTGGACAAAATGTTCCCTACCCATAATGTTAAATTGGCGTTTATGTCTGGATAACACTACATGCTGAATTTGTATCATTCTGGATAGTATTAAATGCTGAAGAAAAATTTACAAACAGTGCTTTTTTGCTTTGTCTAAGTAGTGTCTATAGACATTTTCGATAGATATTAAAATAGCGTCTTCTATGAGGCGCACTCTTTGCGCCAGCAAAGGCGCAAGGTGTCGAGGGTCCGCGACTATAGCGATACTGATAATTTTCCTTGAGTTTGGGTTTATGCGGGCTATCTGAGTGCCTGTGGTTTATGACGTGACCATGGTGCTCGCACCTCACAGCGAGATTTTTTGTAGAGAAGGAAGAGACGTGGCCGAGAAAGAGAACGTGCGTCTGTGTAAAATCCGTTAAAATCCTGTGTCTGATAAAACTGCACCACTGCTTTTGCAAATTACAAAAATAACCAGAAAAAAACCAACCAAAAAAAAAAGCCAACAACAACCAAACCAAGAAAAAAAATTCTTCTTCTTCTTCTTCTTCTTCTTCTTCTTCTTCTTCTTCTTCTTCTTCTTAACATTGTCATTGTCATTATCAGTACCATTATCATCTTTATTATTAAAGTGTCTTGTGGTCATCGTTAGTGTGTAAAAGCAGTGAATAAAACCCAGTCAGCACATGCATACAGTTCCATACAGGGAATTTGCAGTGAAGGCTAACATCATTACATCAGTCGTCACTGGAGACGGATAGGGAAAAGTCCGGAAAACGACAGAAGGTCTTCGTCACATTATCATAGTCCAAACTTCAACTTAAGAGTAAGAGTCCATCCCTTAACCTGAAACAGGAAACTGAGAAACTTATCGTTCAGTTATGCAACTACTCTAGATTATGAATTATTTGCCGAAATTACGTAAATGCAGTGGAAAGTGTCTACGACTACGACGGCCATCGAGTGTTGGAGATAAAAACGGTCGTCTTAGACAAGTGGTCGTCTTAGACAGGGTCATTATCATGTAAAAAAATACGCAAGAGGGAATGGGACGTGGCTGTTTGTACAGGTGATTGTCTTATACAGGTGGCCGTTAGAAAGGTTCAACTTGTTGTAGAACTGCGTTCTCTGAAGATCAAATCTGAGCTTTCATTTCCTCAATATAAGAGATAATACTTTACTTTTTACTTTTATCCACTGCCTATACCCTTTTTGGGTGTCGCGGGAAGAAAGGGACGTCTCTCTGCCTCCAGCCGGAGAGCTTGGGTCAGGGGGATGTCATGAGTTGTTAGTGTTTCCCTAACTCCATCTATCAAGGTCTTTCTCGGTCACGCTCTAGCCTTGTTGCCCTTGAATTTTTTAAGTAGGCACATTGTGCTGGGCAGTGTGTTGGTAATCGCATGATATGTCCGAATCTTTTGATTTTATGGTATTTGAATGTGATGCATGACATCATTTGTGCCCACAATTTCTCTGATTACTGTGTTTCTAATTTGGTCTCGCCTGGTCGTGTTTACTGCTTTTCAAAGGCATGGCATTTCACTTGTTGTAATTCTTTGCTCTAATGTTTTATTCGTGGTCCATGTTTGGCGTTGATAGGTAAGTGTTGGGATGAATGTGTTGATCATTCTGAGTTTTGTTGTCAAGGGGATGTTTGGATGTTTCAGTCGTGGAGTAAGCTGGTGGCTAACATTTTTGGCCGTTTGTACTCGTGTTTCAATTTCTCTGTTCAATCGCCCATCCTCTGTGAATATACTTCCGAGGTACATACATTCTTTGACCTGTCTGAGACTGTTGTTTTGATGTGTATCCTGAGTGGTCCTGGCTTTCTGCTTACTTTCATTGTCTCTCTGTTTGTTGGTGTTGATCTTCATGTCATAGTTGTTACATTCTTCATTTAATCTGGTGATAGGAGATAATAATAATAATAATAATATTAA